GAGCGCTTTTGCTCATTTTGCTTCCGAGAAATGAGCAAAAACGGGACGGAAAACAGGAAATTTTGGCTTAATCTTGCACCTGAGTGTCTAATATTCAAATTTCTTTTTCTGGGTCAAAACTACTCGAATTTCCTCAGTCATCTTGGTACGACTAAATCGAGCTTTCAATTCTCTTTCCACCGATGCCCGAACGAATCTTGTGGCTCAAATGGTTCTTGAGAAATTTCGAAAAAAGCAACGTCATGTTGAGTCGATTTTGCCACCCAGACAAAGCGCGCAAATCTAAAACTTCTTGAAATCAATACTTTCTTGAGAAAACTGCTAACATTTCCTTCTCGATGTTTCACTTTCTAAAAAGCCCATTTAGTTCTCTCTGGAATGATGTAAAAACGAGAGCTCTTGCTCATTTTGCTTCCGAGAAATGAGCAAAAACGGGACGAAAAACAGGAAATGTTGGCATAATCTTGCACCTGTCCAGCTTCTTTCCATTGCTTCATACTCTAGGTGTTCTTCCTCAAGAACAATCCTTCAATCTTCCTCAAGAACATCTCTCCAAAGAAGAGATGGAATGTTGATAAGCATCCACAAAAAAAAGTCCCTCCTGTGAACAAGAAGAAACCGATAATTCTTCTCCTCAATTCACAATCGCCCAGCTTTAGCAATTAAAAAACACACATTTCTAGGCGAAATAATGAAATTGCCGAATTTTATTACAGTTATCGCCATGGGCCTGTTGATCCTCTTCCGATTCAATGTGAGCTTTATGGTCTGGGCAATTTTGATTGGTAGCGTGCTGGCCCTGTTTGTTTTCGCCATTTTCGCTTGGTAAATCTGAATAACATGGGGAGTTTTCGGGCTTTTGGGCCCTGGTGGAACACAATTGGCACACCTCTGAAGATGCGAACCACTCGTGCTTGCGAAACGTCGTAAAGACAAACATATATCATGTTCCACCTAGGCTGCAAAGCGCGACAAACTCCAAGTTTCATAGACTAATTTTGTTCTTGTTTAGGATTGTGTCGCAGCAGATGACGGTTGGGATAATTCTGTCCGTATGTGCTGTCCTTTATGGCATTCTCTTAATATGCTTCAGGAAAAGGGTCCAGCTGGTTATTTTGATGCTGAAAGAGGCCACAAAGGCGGTTTTCCGAATGCCCAGATTGATGGCCGTTCCTTTTGTTGTAAGTGATGATAATCGGGTTTGAGCGAGCAGAGAAGCACCTTGATTTTTGAAACTTTTACAATAATTTTAGTGTTTTATAACCATTGGTATTATCACGGCCGTATGCGGCCTATTGACTGCCTACATGTTGTCTTCTGGAACACTGCAAGCGGACGCACAAGACTCGCACAGCTACGTGATGAACCCCGTGATGATCGCATCAATCGTCCTCAACATCGTGGTCTATTTGTGGATTTGCCAGTTTCTGATGGGAATCCAGTACATGATTATCGCCGGCGCTGTTTGCAAATGGTACTTCTGCAGGTAGAGTACCAGCGCGCTTCCAGCGTCCGACTCCTGCTGATGCTGCACACCTCCTTTACAGAGACAAGAACCTTCTCTCGAGCCCCATTCTGACTTCTGCAGGCATCACTTTCAAGTACCACTTGGGTACGATCTCATTGGGTTCCCTGATTATCCTGCAGATACAGATTTTCAAGGCGCTGCTAAAAGTGATGATGAGCCATAGATGGTGTCGGAACATTGCTGTTGCATGTCTCAATTATTTCGAAGAAATCTTCAGATTTCTGTCCAAAAATTCATACATAGTCACCGGTAAGCTGGCCAATTTAATGCGCATCCTCCTGCAGAAAAGTCGGCTTTGTTTCAGCTATGCATGGTCAAGGGTTCTTCCAATCGGGCAAACGAGCGGTCAAATTATTAGTGCAGAATATCAGCAACGTTATCGCCTTGAACTTCATTGGGGACTTTGTTTTGGCAGTGGCTGTGGTGATTGTTGTAGTGATCAGTGTTTCAGTATCGGCCTTTATTTTCTATTTAGCACCGGTAAGTTCCAACAATTGGCTGCAAAGTTGAGCCTCTTTCAGCCAGTAATCCTAGTGAGTTTTTCGGGCATTTACCGCATTAAGACGCGGCAAATTTCATGTTTTCCGCCCCGTTTTGCCTGTTTCTCGGAAGCAAAATGAGCAAGAAGTTGCTCAAGAACCATTCGAGCCACAGAATTTGTTTTTAGTCGTACCAACATGACTAAGGAACTTAGGGTAGTTTTGACCCAGAAAAAGAAATTTGAATATCAGACACTTAAGTGCAAGATTATGCCAAAATTCCATGTTTTCCGTCCCGTTTTTGCTCATTTCTCGGAAGCAAAATGAGCAAGAGCGCTCATTTTTACATCATTGCA